CAGCAAGAATTTAACGGGGTGGTGTGGTGGGGGGGGTGGGGAGTGGGGGGAAATATGTGCGCCTAACACGGAGGCCTTTTAAGAGGACTGAGAGACCTGACCTTCTGTGGTTTGTGCATCCTTTGTGAGAAAAGCATGAAAGTGGAACGGTTGTAGTAGACATGGGTTGCAGCATGTTTGAGCTCACGAATTGCAGCTTTACCTTTTACTTGGGGGAGAATTAGACCAACCCATTGGTCGCAGCGCGCCCGTGAACCAATGTGTTGCTACCGCAGGATTAGCAAAGTGCAGAGAGTGTTGTCGTTTCCATGTCCACCCAGCGTTTACAGTATTTTTGTGTCCGCCTGGCTCAACCTGCAGCACTCTCGCTCTGAGTCAGAAGGTTCAAATGCCACATCTGGACTTTGAGCTCATAATTTGGGTTGACACTCCAATGCAAATTGGGACGTGAGCCTCTGAGCTGGTGCACTCCTACGTCCTGCTGTGTTGCCAGAGGCGTTAACTTTTGATTGAAATGTTAAACTGCGGATTCCCATAGCTCAGTTGTTAAGAGTGCTCACCTCGCAAGCCAGACACCTGCGTTCGATTCACAGAATTACATAGAATTACATAGAATATGCAGCACAGAAACAGGCTGCTCGGCCCAACTAGTCTATGCCGGCATTTATGCTCCACATGAACCTCCTTCTGCCCTTCCTTGACTAACCCTATCAGCATAACCTTCTGTTCCTTTCTAGTTGTAGGGAATTGCATTCATTAGTGAGGATTGAACACAGAGGTCATTTAGTGCACTGCGAGGGAGAGTGAACCATATCGTGGGTGTACATATAAGGGTTCAGTGAAGCCCTTTGAGATGTCTCGAAGAAGTGATAAGGCCCTATATCAAAAGAAAGGATTATTATCATTAAACTGAGATCACATCTCCCTGTTTCAGGTGGATGTGTTAACCTGCAAACCAAGGTCCTAACGTGTAGGGTGGTCTTAGCTGGACAAGCAACCAGGAAAGCTTTCCAGAGAGCGACATCAATGGCAAGCTAAGAGGTTTTAGCTGGTTAGACTCCAGCAGTTACCCCCAATGCACACTCTGGGGTCCATCCAAGTCTTGGCTCTTGCCAACCTGCGCCTAATACTTTCCAGAATTAGGTAAGCAGCATGAGTCACTCCAGGGAGCGAGAGAGAGAGAGAGGGCGCATTCCATTCCATCAATCAATCTCTGGAATTTCCACGTGGGATGCATGGAATTCTTAGTTTGGTCTGGATATTCTTAAGCACGGTGATGGGTTTCCGCACGTGTCAGACACCCGGCTGACCAAAAAAATATTAAAGATGAGAAAGATTAAAGGAATTATGCTGTGATTACTGGGAGCTCAATGTGACAGAATCTGTTTGAACCTGTGCTTCTTCCTGTTAGTGGGAATATAATAATAATCCTTGCATTTGATATAGCGCCTTATCACGTCTTTGAGACGTCTCAAAGCGCTTCACAAGATACACTGTAAAGTGAACTGACTGCAAATTTTGTGGTCAAAATGCGGCAGCCAATTGCGCACAGCAGCGTCCCACAAACAGTGGATTGAGTGACCAAATTAATATTATTGTTTTTTTTTTGGAAGGGATTATTATCCCCGGAAAGGCGTTCCACCAATCGACTAACAACCGGGTTCCTAATTACTGCTAGGTGAACAGAGGCGTGTGTGAGGAGTAAGGAAACTTGCCCAACGTTTCGCCCTGGCTGGGAATCGAACCCGGGTCCTCTCGCTTGCGAGGCGAGTGCTCTAACCACTGAGCTACAGGACTCCACTTATCCCCAACATGCACCATGGGTTGGGGGGTGGCTGGTAAGTGGACACAGAGAGACCCAGGGGAGAATCTTGCGCTTGTGCAGAGGCTCTGACTTTAGTGAGTCAGTACTTGGTCACCAGCAGAGGGCAACAGAAAACTCCCTGGAGTACGTGGAAAAGGTCAGTAAACAGTTTGACTGATTGGATTCCTCAATTGGGATTGTAGTTGTATCAGGAGGCAAACATAGCTAGTTTGGGAGGCTAAATTTGACAAGTGCCATTATTCCTGCGTTATGATAGCCACAGTAATCTGTCTTGCCCGCGGGAATATATTGTAACCTTCAGACTTGGACACAGTAACAGCTGTTGACCCAATTCATCCTCTGAGTTCATTAAATGGCTTGCCTGGGATTTGAATTCAGGTATTCTTTGATCATTGGAGGCAGGGATTCTTCCAATTTGGCTCCTGTTAACCCTGCAAGCCAAAGCCCTAATGGGTCAAACTGGTTAGGACAAGCTGGACAAGCAGCGGGAAAGCTTGCCAGACAGCAATATCAATGGCAAGCTATGGTTAGACTCCAGCAGTTATATTATTATAATCTTAATAATAATAATCCTTGCATTTGACGCAGCTCCTTATCACGTCTTCGAGACGACTCAAAGCGCTTCACGGAATATACTCTAAAGTGAATTGACTGTATATTTTGTGGGCGAAGTGCGGCAGTCAATTGCACAGCAGCGTCCCACAAACAGTCGTAGATTGCATGACCAGATTATTATTATTTACTTATTTGGTGGGATTATTAAATTATTAAAGGGACTATGAGTTTAAAGCCCCGATGTGGGTGCTTGAATCCACAACCTTCTGACACAGAAGCAAGGGTACAACCAACCAAGCCAGGTTGGCACCTGAATTTGATATACATGGGTGTTTTACTGTCAGCATTTGCATTAACTTCACGTTTCATTTTTTTCTGCTTTCATGCTGCATTATACTGATTTTATCGGGGGGAACAGCTGTCCACGTTATCTTTCTGCACGCATACAGGAATCAAAATTCCTCTGTTGACTAATTTCAGTGAAAATATAGAGATGCACGCACAGCAAAAACTGCACATCTAAGTCGTTCCTCAACATTAATATTAATCAAGTGTGACCTCTCTGAATCTTTGATTGATGGCACACACCACATGCACAAAGACAGTCTGCACTCAATTCATTATCTTAACTCAAGACAACAATGGAGGCCTGTATCTCAGTGGTTAGAGCACTCGCCTCGCAAACTACAGGCCCTGGCTTTGATTCCTGGGCAGGGTGAAATGTTGGGCAAGTTTCCTTACTCCGCACACACGTGCCTCTGTTTACCCAGCAGTAAATAGGAACCCGGTTGTTCGTCGAGTGGCTTTTCCGGTGGTAACACCTGGCTGATAAAACCACACTGTATCTAGACTGTACGATATCGCTTTAAAAATTAAGAGCCAATTTTGGAAAAGGCCTCCGGGAACGGGATAAATTGTTGTGGTTATGGTTAATGGATTGGAGTGCTCTGGGTTGCGAATATTAAACTAACACACAGAGCGTATTTTGTGGGCAACTGGCTGCCACGTTTCGCCCACAGAACATACAGCAATTCACTTTACAGTGTATCCTGCGAAGCGCTTTGAGACATCTCGAAGACGTGATAAGGAGCTGCGTCAAATGCAAGGATTATTATTATTAAGATTATTATACTCTGGGCTGACACGCCAGCGCAGAGCTGCATTGTCGGAGGTGCCGTCCTTTATAAGAGACGTTAAGATCCTCATCCTCACCTACAAGGCCATTCACGGCCTCGCTTCCTCCTACCTCTCCGACTTACTATCCCCCTATCTATCTGTCCGTACCCTCCGTTCCTCCGGCTCCGGTCTGCTCCACATCCCCCGCCCCAACCGCCCTACCATCGGTGGCCTTCAGCCTCTCAGCCCCGAGGCTCTGGAACTCCATCCCCCAGTGCCTTCGCCGCCTCCTCCCTTTCCTCATTCAAGGCCGGTCTCAAGACCTTTTTCTTTGACCGAGCCTTCAGCTCCCCTCTCGACTCTCTACCCCCTCCTCGCTCTCTCCCTTCCCTCCCCTCACCCTGACCATTTCCCCCTTGCGCGGGTCCTGACCCAACTGTCCAGCGCCTTGGGACGTCCTCCCGACGTGAAAGGCGCTCTATAAATGGAATCTTGTTGTTGTTGTTGTCTTGTTGTTAAACCGGGGCCTTGTCTGCCTGTTCGTGAGGATGTTAGATTCCATGGTGCTATCCAAAAAGAGATGGGAGTTTCTCCCAGTGTCCTAGTCGACAATCTTGCCTCCCCCACCAACTCCTCTCAGATAAAACTGATTTCTCACTTCAACAGTTGTTTGTAGCATACTGACCCGGATTAAACTCCGCACCCACATCTCACCAGTTCTGACCCAGGCTCCACTGGCTTCCCATCACCAAACAGATCGACTTCAAGATCCTCACACTCGTGTTCAAATCCATTCACTCTCTGGCACTTCCGACCTCCTCACTCCCCAATCCACCACCCGGCACCTCCGCTCAACTGGCACCGGCCTCCTGCTCATCCCTCGCACCCTCCGCCCCACCATCGGAGGTCGTGCTTTCAGCCACTACGCCCTGAAACTCTGGAACACTCTTCCTCTATCCCTCCCCCTTACCCCCTCTCTCCCCTCTTTCAAGTCCTGCCTGAAAACCTTCCTTTTCGACCGTGCCCCCTCCCCCCAGCTCAGAGTCAGGCTCCATCACTGTTATGCGCTCTGAGACGCTGCCCTACATGGAGGGCGCTATATAAGTGCAAGTTGTAGTTCTTGTTGTCGTTGAAAGAAGATATTCCTGAGAGCCTTAAGATATCTCAGAGCACTTAACAGTGGCTTCGCCAAACTTACTTATCTATTGGCTATCATTTTATTCTCTCACGCTCTCTCTCTCTCTTTCAGCTTATTCTCTCTCTCTCTCTGTGTGTGCTTCATCGCTTCATTAAACCTTGAGGATGAGGGAAGATTTGAAAGGCATGTGCAGTGTGCCTGGGAGCCACTAATCCTGCCTGATTTACTTACTTGTGGAGGAGTCACTCTAGGTCAGTGGGAGGGAGAGCAGTGATTGAAATACAGTAGTTCCCTTCAACTCGGGGCGGAAAGAGGGGGGGAGAGGGAGAGAGACTGACCGAGAAGGGGGAGAGTGTGGAAAGGAAGGAAGAGGAAGGGGGGAACAAAAGAAAAGAAAAGACACATTTCAGAGAAGAGGCAGTAATGGCCGGCAGGCAGGTGCGCTTTGGGGAGGGAGAGCCCGGGGGTTTGAAGCGGGGGGAGGTCTGGGGCTTGGGCTCGGGCTTGGAGACAGGCGAAGGAGAAAGAGAAGCGAGCGGTGGAGACCCAGGGAGCCTGAGAGAGACGGGGAAAAGCGGCCAAAGGTGGGATAACGGGAACTCCGGGCCGGACCGAGAGGTGGGAAAGGGGGAGGAAGAGAAGAAAGAGGAGGCGAGGGAGAGGGAGGAGGGGAAAAGCAACAGAGCAAACGGAGATGTGACAGAGAATGGACTGAATAGCGGGCAGCAAAGTAAAACAAGACAGCAAGAGCACGATGTCTCCTTATACGTCAAGGTAAGGTTTAGGGGGCGGTGGGGTGGGGGAGGAGGGAGGGGGGGGCTGATAAAGACTTTAGCAACTCTTTTTTAAGAAGATATTTTGTCCCTCTTTCCCTCCCCTTCTCCCCCCCACCCCCATTTGAACAAAAAAAAGGGATCAAATACTTAACTCGTTATAGCGTGCAGTTCTGTACTGTAGCTCAGTGGTTAGAGCGTTCGCCTATCAAGCGAGAGGACCCGGGTTCGATTCCTTGGCAGGGCGAAAGGTTAGGCAAGTTTCCTTACTCCACACTACAATAAGTAGGAACCCGGTTGTTAGTTGATTAGCGGATTGCTTTCCGGGGATAATAATCTCACCAAAATAATAATTTGGTCACTCAATCCACGGCTGTTTGTGAGACGCTGTTGTGCGCAATTGTCTGCTGCGTTTCACCCACAAAATATGCAGTCAGTTTACTTTACAGTATATTCTGTGAAGCGCTTTGAGGTGTATCAATGATGTGATAAGGCGCTATATCAAATGCAAGGATTATTATCTGAGATGTCTGCTGTGTTACTAAGCATTAGTGAGTTGGGTCAGTGGCGCTTAAACCTGTTCCACTGGTTAGATAGGTTAATGGTAGGATTTAGAAGCCAAGTTAACAAGCATTTGAATTTTTTTAAAAAAATTATTATTTTCTCCTCTCAAGGTGCCTCTTTCTCTCTCTTCTCTATCTATCTCGTTCTCTCTCCCATCTTGCTTCCACTCCCCTCCATCTCTGAAGCGGACACGTTTCATATTCCAGCTGCGTTTGATTCTGGTCAGTTCTGGTCGTGTGTGATTTTCATCTGGGCTATGAATTTTATAATCATAATCAATAACATTCCTACTTCCATTTGATGCAGCGCTTTATCACGTCTTCGAGACAGCTCAAAGTGCTTCACTGGATACACTGTAAAGCAAATTGACTGTATATTTTGTTAGCAGTAGCCAAGGACGCACCGCAGCATCCCACAAACAGTCGCAGATTTGAGTGATTATTATTTCTTAAAATTATTTTTTTTGAAGGAATTATTACCCCCGGAAAAGCAATCCACCAATTGATTAAAAAAAACGGGTTCCTGATTACTGCTGGTAAACAAAAGCATGTGGTGTAAGGAAACTTGCTTGAGGTTTTGCCCAGCACAGGTCCTCTCACTTGTGAGGCGAGTACTTTAATCGATACAGTAATAATGATCTTTGCCTCTGATACAGCATCTTAACACATTGTCAGTGTGTATCGAAGCAAAGGATTTTACTGTGAAGTGTAGTGACTGTGCATTTCTCTCTTACTGATGTGACAGAAACGTGCACCTGTGATAATGACAAACTGAAAACACAAGAACTAACCAAAACCAAAATCTTTGCAGTCACCAGTCACGGCCAGCGGTGACTCAAAAAGTTATGCGAATTGTACACTGTACCTCTGTGACCCCCCTCCCTACTAATCTGTCCACTCCCTCCGCGCAGCAGGCTCCGGTCTGCCGCACGCTCCCTCCCACTCGCCGGCCCCACCATTGGCCTTCAGCCACTCTGCCGCCCACCTTCTGGAACTCCATCCCACGATCCCTCCGTCTCGCCCCCCCCAACACCCCCCCCCCCAACCCCACTCCCTTGCCTCCTTCAAAACCCGTCACAAGACCTTCCTCTTCGACCGTGCCTTTGGTCACCCTCCTACTCTCACCCTCCACCCTCTTTTGACCCCAACCCCCCGCCCCCCACCAGCTCGGGTGCAAATCCTTGGCTGTCCAGCGCCTTGGGACGTCCTCCTGACGTGGAAGGCGCTGTGTAAAAGTCATTTGTTATTGTAGTTCCTTCCTCTACTGCCTGTACAGCATGTGGATTTCAGTGACACAATAAGGTGCACAGTCTTGTCGTAAGTGAGAGTTTCTTAACAGCCTGTAATGTGATCTCTGGGTTCTGTCTTTGTATCGTGTTTGGGTTTCACTCTTGTGCTTTGTTATATAATCTGATCGCTTTGATTGTTCTGTCTCTATTACACTCTCTTTGGGATTCTGCTCTTTCTTTTATTCATGTGTATGTTATTACGATAACAATGCAGAATGTTTGCATTGTTATCGTAATAACAATGTAATGCAGAATGTTTCATTTTAACAGCAGAGTATCGTAATAATAATAATAATCCTCGCACTTGATATAGCGCTTTTCACGTCGGGAGGACGTCCCAAAGAGCTTCACAGAACACACTGTAAAGTGAATTGACTGTATATTTGTGGGCGAACGCGGCAGCCAATTGCGCACAGCAATGTCCCACAAACAGTCGTAGATTGAAAATGACCAATTTATTATTGTTTTTGGTTTTGGAGGGATTATTATGACTGTGTATTTGTGGGCGATATTTTTTTTAATGGATTATTACCCCCACAAAAGCGATTCGCTATTCGACTAACAAGCGGGTTCCTGATTACTGCTAGGCAAACAGAGGTGTTTGTGGAAACTTACCTAATGCTTTGCCCTGTCCGGGAATCAAATCCAGGTTCCCTTGCTTGCGAGGCGAGCGCTCTCACTGTTGTACTACAGGACTACTGTATAAATTGCCAAAGTATTTAGCAACAGCAACAAAATTGCTTTTGCATTTAAAACATGTTATCAAACCAAATCAAACGGTATTTCATCCTGCTGAAGTCTTAGTCATATCAAAGTATCCCTTTATTAGATACATCGTGATCTTCAGTTCATTAACCTTTGATCGGAGACCGATCCATCGACTAGCCAGAGATTTACGTTTTGTGATTTTAGAACCAAAGCAAATGCAACAGTAGAGAAAAACAGAGAACATTAAGAAGATTACAATTTGATCCGTACGGACTATATTGCATCGGTAGGATTTTTTATCTCTCTCAGAAAAGTTAATCCTTTTGGTGGCACAATTTTGATCGTTATAATCATCGACCTATCTTTGCGTTTCTTTTATTGATACTGTAGGATCATTGCTCCTTTTGAACTTGTCTGCCTTACAGTTCCTAATTCACCCCATGAGAGTGTGCTGGTGTATGTGTGTGTATACGTGGATGTATGTGTGTGTGTGTGTTTGTGTGGATGTATGTGTGCTTGTATGTACCGTGTATATATATATATACCTGTGTGTGAACATGTGTGTGTGTATGTGTATGTGTGTGTGTATATACAAGAGTAGGCTTCATTCCAGGTAAATGAATGGAGAGACAGAGAAACTATTTCCTCTGATGGAGGAATCCAGAACAAGGGCGAACAATCTTAAAGTAAGAGCTATGCATTTTGGAGTGAAGTCAGGAAGCATTTTTTAATGCAAAGGGTAGTGGGAATCTGGAATTCTCTTAAATGTTCTCAAAAAGGCTGTGGATTATGGCTGCATCCATTCACATTTTCAAGACTGAGGTGAATAGACATTGGTTATCAAGGGATATGGGGCAAAGGCCGGTTAATTGGAGTTGAGGTACAGATAAGCCAGGATCTGATAGAAAGGCAGAACAGGCTCGAGGGACTCAATGGTCAACTCCTGTTCCTATGTTTTCTATGTAAGTGGGAAATTTTCACACACAGGTGATAAACTCTTGTCTGGTTTAGCATGGCGATGCGTTTCTGCATGTTAACTGACTCAAAAATGTTTTACCAAGTAATTAAACTTGGATTACGCTTTGGACCGTAGTGTGTTTAATATTTTCTTAACACAATCCCTTTAACCAGCAAAACAACTTCCTGCCTTTCCTTAGGAAGGTGTTTCAGACACAATAATAATAATAATAACAATAATAATAATACTTGCATTCGATATAGCGCCTTTGAGACATCCCAAAGGGCTTCACAGAATATACTGCAAAGTGGAGTGACTGTGTATTTCATGCGCGAAACACGGCAGCCAATTGCACACAGCCAGTGTGGATTGAGTGACCGCATTATTTTTTTTTGAAGGGTTTATTGCCCCCGGACTTTTGAAAGTAAATGTGCTTATCTTGCCCATTCCTTGTGTATTAATTGCATTACTTTTGGAGGTAGAAAGTTACCAGTTAGTATAGAATTTAGGGTAGACTATTTTGGATAAAATTCATTCACAATGCTGTGTACGGTGCTGTGTTTATATATTTGTAATGCCAGTTTTTTTTTACTGAGTAGCGACTTTGAAACAATCGTTTCCCAAAACATGTAGCGAAAGGTCTGCCTCAGTATCAATAACTTTAATTGTGGCATTTCATAAAATTTGTTAACAAACTGCTGTCTGGCCAAGCTTTCCCATGTCCAGCTAGGACCGCCCTACCCATCAGGGCTTTGGCTTCTTAATAATAATCCTATAATCCTTGCATTTGATATCGGTAGGATTTTCACGTCGGGAGGACGTCCCCAAGCGCTTCACAGAACACACTGTAAAGTGAATTGGCTGTATATTTGTGGGCGAACACGGCAGCCAATTGCGCACAGCAATGTCCCACAAACAGTCGTAGATTGAAAATGACCAATTTATTATTGTTTTGTTTTTTGGAGGGATTATTATTAAGCTCTGTGTGGAGTAAGGAAACTTGCCTAAGGTTTCGCCGTCTGCCTGGAATTGAACTCAGGTCTCTCGCTTGCAAAGCGAGTGCTCTAACCACTGAGCTACAGGACTCCACTTCTTAGAGTTAACAGGAGCCAAGTGGGAGGATTCCCTGCCCCCAGTGACTGGTCGGCCCTTCCAGGTCCTGCCGATGAGCCGGGCCGGGCTGTGCTGCCATCAGCAGTGAGTGCCCTGGAATACTGCGGACCCAACTGGCTCAGGAACCAGACTAGAGACCGGTGCGGAGGGCTGGCTCCATTCCGATATCCCATTGCCAAACATGTCACCTTGGAGCCAGTTCAGCTCCTAGGAGACCCCCGCTTATATTATTACACCTCGGAAAGCAATCCTCCAATCAACTATCAAGCGGGTTCCTATTTACTGTCCGACAAACAGAGGAGTGTGTGTGGAGTATGGAAACTTGCCTAAGGTTTTGCCCTGCCTGGGAATCGAGCCCAGATCCTCTCAC